TCTCTCTCTCTCTCTCTCTCTCTCTCTCTCTCTCTCTCTCTCTCTCTCTCTCTCTCCTTTTCTTCGATCAACAATTTCGCGAGCGTGTGAAGCAGAATGAAGAAAAATGGAGAGAAAGAAAAAATTGCGAAGCGAAAGGAGAAGGGACCGTTGATAAATTAAAATTCTACCCTGTTTCGATAAATATGTGTGTGTGTGTACATATGTATACGGCCTTTTATAATTTATGGTCGATTCAGACAACGCACAAGGGTTGAAAGTTGAAAGCAACGCGAATCGTCGAAATAGCTATTTGCACGCCAATTGAAAGAGTGAATTTCGCTATGCCCGGTATTCGTTAAATTACGATATCGAAAAATATGCGGTACATGAAATCGGCTATTTCAAGGGTCCGAATCAGGTTCGTATTATTCGGGATTATTCGGGAGATATTCGATAGGATGGAACGAAATGTATAGGTGAAATTCTTTTATTTATGCTATTCGTCGAGTTTTGGTAACGAGCAAAAATTATCTTCTACGATATTTGAACTGTAACATCGAATTTGCGAAAATTTAAAAATATTTTTTTTTCAACGACCAAGCATTTCAAAAAATTACTCTTATTTTCGTTCGATTGGTTAAAATTTTTCCTCCAACAATTAGAAAATCGATTAGATTAGTGCGAAGAATATTATGCATGTGTGTGCGTGTGTGTGTGTGTGTGTACAAGTCCTTACCGAGCGAAATGCTATTTCCTGTTTGGGTGCTTGCGAGTGATTTACGAGGGGAGCGTAGTACGTTCGACTCATCGATTCAGGTTATAGCACACTGCGTGTACCAACGTGCAGTAAAATTTATACGGTAATTTAAAAAGATTTGGCTAAAAAAGATTGCTTTAAATTTCGAAGTTAAATAAGAAATATTAAAATAAATCTCCAAGTAATTTTTTATACTCCAAGACTTCCTCTGATTTCCCTTACAATTTCGAACAATTTTCGCATTCACCGTTCCTTTCACTTACAAATACTCTCATCACACGAATGCCTCGCATTTCCACGTCTCAAAGCGTCCCTGGAAATCGTCCCTAACAAACCACACACGTGCACTGACGCGATGACACTGTTAAAAAATAAATTTAAATTTCCCTCCGAACAAAAGGGGCCTAATGAAAAAAACATCGGAGTGTCCTTTTTAACGGGTCTCCCATCCAGCTCGAGGCTCAATTTTAACACGGTTTGCTCGTACTACTTGCCAACAATCGCGGCTCGTTTGCGGGATAATTTAGTCGTGTGTTGGAACCTTCCAAAAAGAGGGAGGGGAAAAAAAAAAGAGAGTGGAAGAGAATAAGAAGAAAAACGAGCACAAAAGAGTAAATGTAAATTCGTTTTTAACGAGATATTTCCATAGATGCGTGGCCTGCAGAGAAGATTGCACTCTGTCGGCGAGACGGGGAAACTAAATCGTCGAACTAGTCGAGATTGAGATTCCTCCCTGTTAAAACGACGTTAATCCCTTTTATAATAATATCCACGTAGATTGAAGGACAACTTAATTAGCCGAGATCGTTAGAATCCCCGTGAAAGGCCACGACGATGCTCCCCATCGGACTAGAATTCGTCGATTATGCGGAGAATAACCTTCGTTCCTATTATAGATTCATTTTCAGGTTAGAAATAAGCATTACGATCTCGTGTCTCGTGTGGGGTTCACGTGCTTACATTATTTCTTTTATCGAAAGTGGCGATAAGGATGAAGAGATAAGTATTCTAATATAATTCTAATGATTAGTGCTTTTAATAAAATTCTTCGTTGGAATATAAGAAAGCGAAATAGAGAATTCGAAAATACCCGATTGATTCGAGAATTTCGACTCTCACGTGAATATATCATAAGGATTATTTTTTTAATTTTGAAAAAATTATTCAGCTCCTTGAAATTCTGAAAAATTCTGATTTTATTTTAATACAAGCATCTCGAAAAACGACGACGTTTTCGAGACCATGAGATATAATATTTTCGAGACTCGATCCGACCCGATCTTTCCCGATGTGTTCCGAACATTCTCGACGTTTTCGGGTTCTCGCACGCTTCTAAAGCGAAACAACGAATTATTCTATTCAAAATAATAATATAATAATAAAACTAGAGAATATCCCTCGGGCATTGTAAACTTAGTTTAATGTAAACTTAACGTAACGGACATAACCTTAACCTAACTCAAATCTAAATGTCTAATCTTTGGAAAACAACAGAGAAGTAAAACTGAATTTACGTCTAATTAGAAAGTAATTGAGTATACGTTTACACGGTGTTAAAAAATAGAATTTTCTGTGCAACGATGAAACACTTGCAACGCAGAGCAGATTGAATTAATTTTTTAATTTCAACGAGACGACTTTCAGACGGTAAGAGGAATAATAAACGAGGAATCTCTTACAAATTAGATTAAGATAAAACGTCGTTAAATGGAAAGTTTCTTGCATAATTTCACGTAGACCGTGCAGAATACATTTCACGAATTGAATCCGTACGAGCTGTGTACTTCCATATACAACCGTATGAATACGATCGGACTGGACGATAAACTGGCGAGAAATTAGCTGGTATAAATCACACGCGGAATACTATAATGACAAAATCTAATGTACAGGCGCCGTTGGGAGATCGGAGTTCAACTAATTTTCAGAAACTCTAAGGGTACAATCGTGCAAAATTAGATGCAATCCCCGGGGGACGGACGAAAATCCACCAAGTAACCAAATATTCCGAATCGAAATGGTTCTCTTTGACGTACATGTGTAATATGTAACGTAATATCGTATATAAAAGATAGATAGAGAAGAGAACTTAGAACTAGCAAATCGGTTAAATTGATTGTTTTCATTTATTTTTGTAATTAATAAATATAAGTATTTACGGTAAAATTAATATCAATTTTCAATTACTACTTTATTCTAATTATTCATGCATGTTATATGAATATTACAGATAATTTTAACATCGAAGAATAAGACCGTGAAAGAAAGAAAAAAAGTGAAAATTTTTGACTAACGACTAATTTAATATGCTGCTTAGATAACAAGTATCTGATTATGGATATTATACATTCTTAATTTATTTAATTTCGTTCACTCGACGAATATACGAGATATTCTTTTTTTCTTCGTTTGCAGGAACTTCATTTCAATTACACTGGAAGCTGTGTTCAGGAAGTTTAATATGCAATTATCGTTCCGGAACAAATGAAAGAGGAGTGTCAATCGAGGAAAACACGAAGGTTAAAAACAATTGACTAACGACATAAAGGAATACGTAATAAGAGCATACGAGTCAAAGGTAAATGTTCGCGTTAATAGGCAATTACCAAGCAGTTTCCGCGTGGAACACGTTCCTCTCGATGAAAGCCTTACGCTTGCCGACCGTATAATCGAAAATTAGGGTGCAGTTAGCAAGTGCTTAAGCAACAACTGTTTATTGATATAGTTAATGAATTTCCGCGCAAACTGTTGTGTCTCGATAAATATCATTGCACGACTCGTCGAAAATAAATTTTGCTCGAACGTGGGAGTTGAAATACAAAACTGAAAAATATCATTTTGTTAAATAATTATTTTGCTCGTTCACAGATCACTCGTATGATAAAGTATAATAACGATCAATTTCTACATTGACAACTTTGATCAACTTTTTTGAAAAGTTGTAAATTTAAATGTTATAATTATTAATTTTAGAAGCTATGTAATTAAACCTCGTTAAAATTGACGAGTTTTTTTTTCACGTGACTAATGTTAAATAAATAATGGAATAGCAAGAGAAGAAATTTTGTTTTAATTAAGAACTGTTCGAATTAATAAATTGAAGATTAATTAATAATATAAGAGAGATGACAAAATTGTATATTTATTAGGGTAACTCTGCTGGTAAAATATTGACAGGTGGTCCAGTCTCCATTATCTTACGTTGACGTTAATAATTAATTAGATCTAGTAATAGGAAAGGGGACGGTCAATTACCATAATCTAACTATTTACGAAGAATTTTTCCTGCTCAAGTGAATCGTTCCCTATTCAATTTGTTTCCCTTGAAAATTAACATAGAAAAATTACCAATAATTTCGATTTTCAAAAAAAAAAAAATCCTTCTATTTAACCGTTTCGTTCGTATTCTTTCCTTACGTATTTTTCATTATTGTCATGTTTTTATCATATAATAAATTTCTTGCTGCTAAAACCTGCATTTTTCCACGGTTATTCTCCATAATTGAAAGAAGTTGGTAATTTATAATCACGATTAAATTGTTCACATGTGTACATCATGAATTACGATCCATCCCCCGCAGACAGGAAGCGTTGGATCCATGTGCTTTAAAGACACAGCGCTTTGGTGAAGGTGGGATCAAAATTGATCCGCTATGCATTATCGTTATTACATTAAGTGGGTCGGAGTATAACCCGCTAAGCTTCAAAGGCTTATGCCGAGAATTGAGTAAAGGTCGGTTATTTATAGGCCTATGTTGGACGTTAAAATCCGAAATTTCGAGGAAGGCATTTCGAAATGATTCATCCACGCTGAAAATTTTTGAAATCTTTGTCCATCGAAGGGTCATATATAAATTATTATATCTCTTTTTATAGATTTTACAGATGGAAGATGTAACTTGATCGTTGGATTCGTGAAACTCGAAAAAAGCTTTCCAAAACTTTGCGAGATACATTTTCAAAATTCTATGATGGAAAATCGAAACGTTCGAAAACTCATTTTTACTCGATTTTTATTCGACCTTTATCCCCTTTCCATTCCTCTCTAAATTCTTGCTGTATCAAATTAACTCATTCCCCCGTTTAATAACGTAACAGCGTGTAGAACGATAATTAATGGCGGCCGTGGAAGATTAATAAAAGGTGGACGAGAAATGATTACACGTTTGACGTGGATCATTAATGAAAATCTATTCGGCCAAGAGTATCGCCGCGTAGAGGACGTAACCGAGCCGTATAATTAGGATTAAGTAAGGCGTTATTAGTAATTAATTTGCACGCCACGCGGAATCAAGATGTGCAATCTTCATAATTCAAAGTTTTACGCGGAATTCAGTGGGACCGAGCATTGATCCGTTTCCCATCCTCTTCAATTTATCTCGAAACCCTTTCAGGCCCCTCCTCGGCCCTTTAAATTATTATGGAGGACGATTAAGAGTGGAATAAAAATTATGGATAAACTTCAAAATTTAGGAGTCGCGAAGATTAATTAATCGAGGCATGTATAATGCATGCCTCGTGTCTAATTGAACAGAACTCGATTCTTCTTCTTCTTCTTCTTTTTGCGTCTTGATTTTTCTTTCCTTTTTTTCTTTTTCTTAGAAATATTAGAGACGCGAGTATTAATACAACGCGTGGGATTTTTTTTATTTTAAGCATCAAAGATATAGTTTGGTTATTTACAAAATAATGTTAATACTTTCTTCTACTATTCATATTTTAAAAGTTTTAAAGAATCTTTGTTGTTTATTTGATTATCAGTTGCGTGTAATGATCGGTACGTCATGCGAAACTATAAAAATTATAAAAAAGATAATTACGTTCGATTAACAATGATAGACGTTCACCGCAAATCGAATATGGAATTCAATCGATCGATAATTATTACGCTAATCAACGTTTCGTTTGTATATTCGATATTTGAGAAATTAAATCAATAATATATTTCTTGCTTTACATGGTACTGACAAAAAAAAAAAAAAATGAAAAAGAAACTCCCATTAAAAAGAAAGAATAAAATATTTTTTCCCGACAAACAACCAATAATGATTCGTATTTATAATTGAACATCCGTTTCATATATCAATTTAATAATTAATTAACAAGAAGAAGAAAAAAAAAAAGAAGAAATCGGAACGACGATCAATAACAAGTGAGTCGTGACTGCACTCCGTGTAAGTGGCTTCTTCTTTTGCAGAGAGTGATTCAACGATTGAACTTTGCCCATAACTCACTCGGCCAATTAACGTAAGAAGCAAGTGTGTGCGCGAGTAAAAATTCCTCCGCTCATCGACACGACCATTCCATGCCAATAAGTAGCGCTTGCATTAATAATTAATTAGCGGGGCTTGGGGCTCAATTTCCATAATTCAACGGCCACCAGCAATATACAATATCGCCCTCTCGAACGTGGAGGACGACCCAATAACGGCCGGGGCACTAACAATTTTACTGGTGGATTCGCACGCGAGTCAAATTGCAAATCGTACAATTGCCGAATTTTTTGCCCAATCGTTAAAGTCTCCTCCGCTTTTGCACGGTCAAAAATATCCATTGCCAAGCAGCGTTGCGTGTGGGAGGCGCTGCGCCATCTCTGAATCCAGAAATGGAATCGTTCGACACTTTCCTTTCGCCGATTCGCTCATTCTACGACGAAATGTCGTGAATTTTTCTGAAGAATATTTCGGAGGAACGTGACTCTTCCGGTTTTTCTGATTATTATAATTTCATTAAAAATATGGCTCAATGATGTAAAAAAAAAAAAAAATTAAACACTGCGATTAATCAGCATAGAATAAAAAGAAAATACTATATAATAATCGATATATAAATATACAAATATTTGTGATTTCGACTCTTAAGTAGAACCGCATAAAATATCTGCGCGACAGATGTTGAACAAAAAAGTTACAGACAATTAATTTGGAAAGCGCTTCGAATTTGACAAGCGTGTAATAAACCGGATCTTGAGAAACGATATTCTTCAAAGAATGAATGTCCTCGACAATTCTATTCTATAAATTATTCGATAGATATGGATCTGAATAGACTGAAAATTATAAAACGAAAAAAGCAGATGTAAGAAGATGTACATATTGGAAATATCATAATTGCTTATTTCTCCAAAATATAATAAATAAACAACGATAGAAATGCATATATATATATATCATAATATAAGATAGCTTTTAAGATTAATCCATAAATATAAATGATTGGATTAAATTTTGAAAAGTTCTGCGAATCAAATATAGCGGTAAAAAAATAGAAAGTTTCTACTTTTCGTACATTCGATTCTTATCGCTTGGAACAATGTGACATGTAAAAAATGACCGATAAATTATTGCATCGTGTGAATTTCTAATACGATATTCCGTAAATATTTCTCAATTATCGAAAACTCGTGACTGATCAGTTATGAAACAATTATTTTTTATACATTCGAAAATGAATTTTGTATCGAGTTTAATACACATTATTCGAACGACTGTGCGCGCCATGCGACACAGTGAACCCGTCGATCCACATAATAATAGAACAAAGGCATCGGCACGACCCATATCAATATAACGTAATTTATCCCCACTTCCTTTATTAAATGTATCCTTTCACAACCTTAACATATTCTTTATTTTCGATCAAATCAACTTCACATTCCCCGATATTTCCAAACGGTCGAAAAAATTCGATCAAATTCGATTCCTTCTCGATTCATTCGCACAAATTCAATACAAAAACAGAGAGAGAGAGAGAGAGAGAGAGAGAAATAGGAAATCGAGTCACGAAATTATCGACGTTATTATTTCTCCGGTTAATTAAAATAGCAGAAACGAGCGGCGCGTATGCCGGCTCGGATAATTGCGAGCGACGAATTGTTTAATTCGAATCGTGGTTGAACACGTGGAATTTAAATGGCCGCCGCTTTACACCCGCACGATTTGAATACCCGGCGGCGAGTTGACCGGCGGCCCGAATTAAGGGAAAATCGGAAATGATTGTCACGTTGTCGAACGGTTGGATTATGTTCGACCCCGCATGAATATTCATCCCCAATTTCACCCCTTCCCTCCCGCGAAAAATTCCTAAGCAATCCCTCGGGGAGGGAGCCAACACTCTCGATATAATTAATCGTATGCGCGAGCACGTATCTGATAACCGGATGATCCTTAATTCACCCTCCCTTTATTTTTTAACGGGTAACGCCTTCCTTCTCCAAGTCGAACGTCGCGCGTTGAATTTCAAAACAAACATGCACCGTGTATACATATATATATATATATGGAATTTTATCCTCGAGAAAGCCCGTCCTTCCTTCCTTGTACCGTTATTTCGTTCGTTATTGGATCAAGGATGGGGAACGATGTTTCCCTTTTTTGGTGATGAAATTCCAACAGAGAGAACGGAAGCACGCGCTGATTTAATATCGATATTTTATCGTATCCCGGATAAATTTTCAGTCGTCGCGTCACGTTTGATTTTCACTCGGGGAAATTGGGAATGGAGAGGAAGAGAAAGATTTCGACGAGATATTTTTTCACGCGGAAGAGAAACAAAAAAGAATACATCGGATCGTTTTAATTATAATAACTAACAATTAACGGATCCTATTTATTTATTCGAAAAGCCATACCATACCCAAGCGAAACGTTGCGTTAAATCCTTTCTCGAATTTTGCATGGTTATTTCCACCTTCGTTTCCCTATCCACCCGAAAACTTAAATCTCCCCGGGCAACGCGCAGGGATCCACAATTTCCCTGGGAGAAAAAATCCGGACGAAAGAAAGGTACCAAGAAAAGAGGGATATACACATTCCTCCCTTAAAAATACCATCCACTAATAAAAAACAATGGGACGCCGCCGTGCATCCACGTGAAAATCCAGGCCAAAAATTTATTCCCCCTCGAATACACGTACCTCACACACACACACACATATATACATACATACATACATACAAAAACGTGGTGGTGGAAATTGGTTTTCGCCTATGCTGGCCAAGAAGTATTTTTATACCAACGATCTATCTACGCGAGAGAGCGTGGTATCGATCGAGCGAATTAATCTCCTCCCCCCCGCCGAAAAAGAGAAAAAGAGAGTGGAAAAATTCGCACGTACCTCGCGTTTCGACGAGAGCCCAGCACAGATTGGCCAACGAGAAGAGCAGCAGCGAGAGTAGATAGAGCGCGGCATCCCATCTCATCTTCGTTGTTCCGGATAGATTCCTCGGCGGTGGCTGCCTTCACTCTTCTCCCGCCCCTTCTTCACCGCTCATCCTCCGTCCTCATCATCATCATCATCCCTCCGCTCTTACCGCCGAGCCTTCCGTGCTCGTTCCGGAGGGGAGGTGGTGCACACCCTCTCCGGAAGGAAAGAAGGGCTCGGTCTGGCGCGGTCCCGCAAGGTCGGCAAGGGTGCTTATCACCTGGCTGATAACACCTGCAAGACAAATAGCAGTGGGGTGGTAAACAGTGGGCGCAACGTTTTCTCGCGTAATTAAACCGGTGTAATCCCCGGAGGTGGCGGCGGATTGTTCACCGCGTGCTGGATAATAAGGGGTTGATGCGCGTGTTGTATCGCGCGATATCGTCGAGGAAAAATTCGTCAAGTCGTATTATTATCGTTGTTGTTATTACTTTCGAGAGAAAGAAAATTAGGGTGGATTCGTTTCCAAGCTTTTTTATCCCTTTTCGTAATTTTCCTGTGCGATATAAATTATTTAAGGAAACTTCTAGCTTGTTCCATCTTTGATACGGAACACAAATTCTCTTATTTCAAATAATATTTAGCAATTCACCAAGTATTGGACGTAGCATAAGCGTACTTGTTTCACGAGTGTCGTGATATAATTGAGATAAGAGTGGATGAAGAAGTTGGCCTGCGCGATTTGTGATCGAAACTCGTTTCGTTCGAGATGCGATGTGTTTATCGGAAAGTAAAAGAGAAATGTGCTCGTTTCGAATTAAAGGAAACGCAAAGAGGTTTAAATGTGGAAACTTACGAACAAAATTGGGGAGTGAGTTACAAGGAAGGAAGTATAGCGCGATAGATATTCAGTAGCTATCTCTATGAAGGAAAATATAAGTTTAGTTGATCGTTTATAGGATCGTTTTTAGGAAGTAAAAATTCGAGACAAGTTATAAGAAATAAAATATAGCATAACAGATATTCAGTAGCTACTTTTATTGGATATGCAACAAACGAGTCATAAGGAATAAAATATAGCGTAACAGATATTCACTAGCTACTTCTGTGAGGCGAGAAAAATAAAAAGGGAAATATGATCGTTTAGAATCAAAGGAAACAAAGAGATATAAATGTGGAAACTCACGAACAAAATTGGGGACAAGAACAAGTTATAAGGAATAAAATATAGCATAACAGATATTCAATAGCTACTTCTGTGAAGCGAGAAAAATAAAAAGGGAAATATGCTCGTTTAGAATTAAAGGGAACAAAGAGGCTTAAACGTGGAAATTTATGAGCAAAATTGACAAGAACAAATTATAAAGAAAATATAACCCGATAGATATTGCGTATCGTAAGATATGGAAAGTTACGAACAAATTAGAGACAAGTTATAAGGAATAAAGTATAGCGTATTAAATAATCAAGCTACTTTTGTGAAGCGAGAAAAATAAAAAGGGAAATATGCTCATTTAGAATGAAAGGAAACAAAGAGGCTTAAATATGGAAACTCACGAACAAAATTGGGGACAAGAACAAGTTATAAGGAATAAAGTATAGCGTGTTAGATGTTCAATAGCTACTTCTGTGAAAAATAAAAAGGGAAATATGCTCGTGGAAACTGACGAACAAAAATTGGGAATACAAGAACGAGTGGTAAGAAAAAATACAGCCCGATCTAGATACCGCGCGTCGTAAATTCTCGGCTCGAAGTTCGAAAAATATTTCACCCGTCCAAGGAGCGAAGGATAGGCCCTGTATTCGATGGATCCATTAAACGATAACGACCAACGGTGAGGAAGATAGAAACAGAGAGGTAATAGAAATCTTTTTCTCGAAAATTTCGAAAGTTCTTCGAGGAGAACGAGACGAACTTTTGCTCGCCTCCTTTATCCGGACCACGCTCGCAACTTATTCCGATCCACGTCGCCCGCCACGGGATTCTACGCGCACGAGCGCGTGTTTGCCTTCCTCCTTATGCTAAATCCCCGCGCTTCTTTCCTCCTGATCCCTCCTCCCTTCTGGAGGAGGAGGAGGAGGAGGAGGAAAAAGAAAGGGAGAAACAGTCTCCCCGGTTAAGGAGTTGGAACGAAATTCCGAAAGTTGGTCTCTGCTCTTGGTGAAACAGGTCACGGAGCGAGAGAAAGAGAGGAGGAGGGCGGTGTTAAAAAGTTTTGCGGTGGATTCCACCCCCGGGATAAAACAGAGGATAATCAGGTCGCTTTTTATTTCCACGGGTCTCTGTCGTCGCGAGCCAGCCTCCGGAATTATCGGCGACCCTTCTTCTCCTCGTCTTCGCTGCACCTTCGCTCGAATTAGGCCACGTTAATCCTTCCATGCTTCTTCCGGCATGCGTGCCAACTGAACAACCGTGTCGTTTCTCTTTTCTTCCTTTTTGTTCTTCGTTTTCTCTCACGAAGGGGATGCTTAGGGATTAATCGTGGCGACAATTGGCCACGATTTTAAAGATGAATTTTTTTTTTGTGAAGTTTTCGTATTCAGGCCGCGTTATTAACGGAGACACTTTTGTACGAGAGCGCTCACCTTTAACGCGGAATCATTTTAACGCGCTCCTATATTCAGCGCGCGATCTTAACCAGAGTCGAACCGTTCTCGTCGACATCGCGTTGTTAAGACTCGTGTTCCGAATATAACAGTGGGGAACAGGTTACGCTCGTAGGGGGAGTAAGTTTAAAAATCTTTAACAAAAATTCTTTTGTATATCCGAATAAACGTGTTCAAACACCAGTTTCTCTAGTTGTTCGTGCGTGTATTCTTTCCTCCATTACCTCGTTTATGTGTATTCGAAATGCATAAAACGTATTGTTTAACTTTTCATCCGTAATTTGTTAATTTTCAAAACTCTTGGAAACAATCTCGAGAAATGTTTGACATTTTCTTCGAGGTTTATATTGGAGCGTGCGAGGGAAATTTTACATTACAACTTATTCTATCTTAATGATCTTCCGTAGATTTTTCCATGATTTTTTTTTTATCTTGAAAGAATTTTCGAAATCGATCTCGAGAAATGGTATTATCCAGTCGGTATTTTTCCTCGAAGTTTATATTGGAAGGAAATTTTACGAATCGGATATCGTGAAACAATATAGCCATAATATCGAACTGGTAGTAAAAAAGTTTTCTATTTTAACTTTTTCATCCATTAATAACATTTGTAAATCTTCTCTTTCAACGTATTATATGTATCTATTCATTATATGACGATCTTTCATAGATTTTTCGATAACTTTTAATCGATCTTGAAAAAATTTTCAATCAGCCTCGAAATCGTTCTCGAGAAATATTTATCGGTCGGTATTTTTCCTCGAACTTTATATTGGAAATTTTCGAATCGAATCGAATATCGTGAAACAGTAAAAAAAAAGTTCTTCATCCTTAATAACATTTATAATAAATCCTCTCTATTAACGCATTATGTATCTATGACGATAGATACATAGATGACTTTTAATCGAAAGAATTTTCAAACAGCCTCGAAAACGATCTCGAGAAATGATATTATCGTTTCGACTTTCCCTCGAACTTTATATTGAACCTTTCGTGCGTGAGAAGGGAAATTTTTTTCTTTTTTTTTTTTTTACGAATCGAATAAACGCGAAACAATAGCCATAATATCGATCGTTCGAACTCGTAGTAAAAAAGTTTTCTACTACTACTACACGACTTCTATTAGGATTGGACTCGCAAGTTGGATCATTACGGTTAGGGTCATCGTCTCGAGCTACTTCTTCTCTCCTGGCCGTCATTAAGGGGCGAAACTTTCCAGGCAAGTAAGTACTTACTTAGGCTACCATAACATGGCGGCTCGTCGCTATTGGTATTGTTTCTGGATACGAAGGATCCCCTCCCCTCCTCTCTGTTTTCCTTCCCCGTGGAACATAAATTTCACGCCAGACGAAACAGCTTGGCCGGAAAAGAAGCGAAGGAGAAAATGATGCCACACGAAAATAACCTATACCGGGATTCTATATTGGGTGAGATAAACCATCATCTCTGTGACTTTTTTTTTTTAACACTTCGAGGCGCTTTCAAGGCGTTTTCAATGTTTTCAACTTAATTACGTGGGTATATCTTCTATTTTGGGCAATTTGGCAAGCAAAATTTTTACTTTTCAATTACCAATTAGGTACAAATCAGGTAAGCAGTTCGACGAACGTTAAATTCGTGTTGCTTGTGAATTCTGGGACAGATCGATATTTATACGCGTTTCGTTATTTCGAAATTAAACGTGCAAAAATTCAACGGGAGAAGAACGATATGCGTCGTTAATTTATTTTACGATTGCGGGAATAAAATCCGTTGAGTTTTTTTTCGAAAAAATGGCCAATTTTCGAAATGGGAGATTAATTTTGCTTGTTTGTCGAATCCGGTTACTCCTTTGTTAAATTTCGCGAGGCGAAAATCAATTGAACCCGTGCTTAATAATCTACCGTTGACCACTCGTTAATTGCATTGTGTTTTTATTAAACATCGCCATATCGTTTTTTTTCGTTCCTATATTAAATATAATTTAATTCACGTGATATTAACCGCCACTTTATGATCGAAATTTACACATTTCTCCCTCGATTTAATTCTTATTTTATTACAAAATAGAATACCAAAAATACGAACGTTAGAAAAACTATTTATTCCAATCCCAAACACCATTTTCTCGAATAAAAACAAAAAAAAAGTATCTCAAAAAGTATCTTCCATTATATAATTAAACGAACTCGAAAGAAAGTATTCTTAAAATTATCAAAAAAAGAAAATGAACTTTCAAAGCGCATTTTTCCTTCCACATCCTGTTTCACATAATTTCTCTCGATAACAAACGAAGAAGAGCACGCTTCATCATCCGAATCACGGAGACGGAACACCCGTCCTCCATCTCAACAAATTTCCGTTTCCGTACAAGTGCGCGTAATTTGAATCTTCGAAGGGTAATTGGATAGTTTGAGATACTCCCGCAACTTGCTTCGTTCAACTACTTTATCGGCCGCGCACACGACGTCGTGGAAGGGGAGAGTATCGGCCGGCCAGCTTTTCGCCGCTTACTTACAATTAGCCCCTACTAATTGCACGGCCACGTTTGATCGACTTCCAACAAGAAGTCCTCCTTTCCGCCTCCACT